AGGGCGTATTCTTCTTCTTGCTATGACCCTTCAGGAAATAGGTGATGAAGGCTCTCCAAAGCTTCCTATCTCTTGAGGCCCTACCCAGTTTTTCTTCTTTTGTTAAGATTCCTGCTCATCGTTCCGTACCTTATTTATACAAGCTCAGATCGAATAGGGCTTTGTAGTGTTGAGTTATGAGAGCAGGTTCTACCTTCATACAAATGATGGTTCTTGTGATGGTGGTTTTCTAATATAGCTTAGATGGTGCACAAGGCCGAAAGTATAGGGCACCCAGTGAGGAACGAACTCACTACTCAATTGATCTAGCGAGACAAGCTTGCTAACCATTACACCACGAAGAAGAGCCCTGATTCTTGTGATGTTAACCTGCGGAGTGATATATTCCAGACGCATAATGCCTTCCCATATCTCCCTTGCTCTCAGTATGTCTCGTGAATGTAAAGTTTTCCAAGCCCTCTTTTCTCAACAGGTGTCCACAGAATTTCAGCTGTCGAATCTGAGTACGTTTTCTTCTTGTCATCTTCTGTAAGTCTTCCTTGTTGTTTTCTCGATCTAGAAAATGGAATTTTCAGTATCCTTCTGTCTAACCTGTTTTTTCCTCTTCTGTATGTAAAAAACTGATGCAAGATGCCGCAGTTATACTACTAAATAATTTTAATTTAAGTTGGTGGAATTTCTTTTTCCTATATGTAACCTTTCGAAAAAACATTCTAGCCTTTCTAGAAAAAATAAAACATCCTAGTATATTAATCTTTCATCGCCTGTTTACATAATGCTCCATTTAAAAAAAAATGTTTATATAATCCCTTTAGCAGGCGATAAGATAATGGGCGGCATTTGGTCATTGCCGTGACGTCATCTCTGGTTTGATTCTAACAACGCAATAATTTGATCAGTAGAAGCTCACTTTAATAATATAACGCCACGTCACTGTAACTATTTTAACTTGCCATTTCTCTTGAATTTGGAGGCAATAAATAAATTCTTAGTATTCTCACTAATCTCTTCATCCCGTAATTGTTTCGATTGACTATCCGACCAAAATAAAACGATTTAAATATCTGGGAAGTGTTTTAAAAGAGGATGGAAAGTGTGGCACTGAAATCTGATTGGGATAATCAAAGATGCTTTACAAAAGTTAAGCAGAGGATTAAGAAACAGGAAAACTTTGTTAGAAACAAAGAAAAGAATGAATTATGATGTCTGTCCTACTATATGGCACTGAATGCTGGACAATCTCTTCAAAGATGAAGAAGAGACTTGAAGCAACAGAAATGTGCTTCTACGGAAGGATGCTGAGGATACCATGGACTGAATATGTTATCTATGACGACATTTTGGAGAAAATGGAAACAAAAAAAGGACTTTTATACTACAGCTGTTTCAGGAAGAGACAGCTGAAATTTCAAGGAAATATAACAAGGAAAAAGGGCTTGGAGAATCTGATACTCACAAGAGAAATTGAAGGCAAGAGAGATAGAGGAAATTTGTATTAAAATTATCATTCTAAATGATACAATCACTACAAATAACACCAAATTCTTGATTTAACGTTAAATCCGAAACAAATAAAAAAAGAACTAACATTTGTCTTGCCAGTGTTAAATTTCTAACGGTTCAATTCTACTGCAGTTGCACTGACAAAAAAAAAAAATGAAATTATGACACCCTGAATATGTATCAATTTACGCGATCTGATAAAAAAAGTATCGGGACTGTTGCTATGGTAAATGAGCTAAAGTACGCAGAGTGAAACCGCTTGGCACAGGTTGATCTTGAACTCTGTGGCGTATACACATTCAGTAATAACGTTCTTGTTCACTTCCGTAGTTTATTGCAATGCTTGGAAGGAATGTGTGTAGAGTGTGGTCGTCTTACCATACTACAGAGGTTCCATCAATGACCGTAGCTTGTGCAGCAATTTTGGCAAAGCAGAACATTCACCATGTCCGTCAAACACCATATTCTCCAGATCTTGTCTCTTGCGATTTTTCCTCTTCAAAAATCAAATCCCACCTCAAAGGAACTATATTTCAAAACATCAAGCAAATATCAAGAGAATGTGACTAGGCAGCTGCTCGCTATCTCCAAAAATGAATTCCAGGAATGCTCCGATCAATTAAAGCTAGATAAAGTGTGTGGCACCAGAAGGGCACTGCTTCGAAGGAGATTAAATACCGAGTTGATATGTGTTGTAGTTTTCTTTATATAGCACCAGACTCAATAGCTTTTGATCAGCCCTCATATAATATAAATTACAGTAAATGATTTGGTGCACGGATTCCAAAATAAGGGTTGGATCAGCAGTACTCAAATCGCATACTAATATACTGCATATCCTGGGCACTCTCTCATTCCTATCACACAAATGGGCATTATATATATATATATGTCCCATCATATCTAATATATGTTATACGGGGACAGGTCTGCCAATCATACCAACTAAAGAAGGTGCATTTTGCGGAGCATTGGAATTATGTATGCAAACGTTATCCTGCTGGAACAGAACATCCATCATTCATACTATGTAGGAGTTTCGAATTACATCCACAAACACCAAAACTGAGCGAATGCTGTAAAATATGGCGAATATCATCCTATGATATATATTCAATAGTTCGTGTTTACACATCACCACCGTCACGACTCTTACTCAAATTACCCTTTTGATGCAATACAATAAAGTCATAGATGGGTGAATTAAACGAGACAGACTTTTTTCATACATTACAGCTCTTTTCATGTGGCAGACATAAAAGGAAATAATCTTGTTTATAACCTTATTGCACTATATGAAACAAGCCTAAAGATGAATATTTGAGGATTATCAGAAGGATATTATTTACGAAGTTTTAAAATGGTAAAAAGGACACTTAATCTCAGAAAAGATTAAAATTTACATAATAAAAGGACTTGGAAAAAATAGTATAAGATTATTTAAACATAAAATGATTATCTAAGGGTTACAAAGGACAGGAGCTTTATTCACTCCCTTAAAGTTCAAAATGAAAATAATCTATACATTAGCTCTTTTTTGGCAGACATAAAGGAAATAATAAGGAATGAATTATTATCTAAGATTATTTACATAAAAGGAAATAATCTAAGATTATTTACATAAAAGCAAATAGTATAAGATTATTTACATAAAATGATTATCTAAGATTATTCACATAAAATGAAATAATCTAAGATTATTTACATAAAAGGAAATAATATAAGATTATTTCCATAAAATTATTATCCAAGATTATTTACATAAGGGGAAATAATCTAAGATTATTTACATAAGGGGAAATAATCGCATAAAATGAAGTAATCTAAAAAGTTTGAAATTAATAAGCAAAAAAAAAAAAAAAAATCAGTCATCATCAATTAATTCATACAAATATCATTTACGATTTTTTCCAGAAATATGACTACCTGAATGACTATACCTGAATGACATGTCTTATCAACCTTTTGTAGGATTTTTAAAAGGTCGACACCTATTTTCAATTGTAAGAATAACGAACCCAACCTGAATTTGATTTCAGCTCTCCGATTTCTCATCCAGAACTGCTGTCCATGATACCAAATTCTTCAGAAAGTGAGGTAGAAAGGGGAAGTCAGTGACAGTGATGAATGAGCCGTAAAAATGGTCAGCGTGTGTTGTTTTTGCAAGGAGTGTTTGGATGTTGGGTTACCAGATATTGGTTGATTTAAAGAATAACATGGAATCTCGCCTAATTCTATTGATTGGTTTCAAAAGATATGAGCTGGTTTCCTTTCGTTTGAAGAACTCGTATTGACTGGCTGCCTATAAAAAAAGGGGTTCCTTTTCAAGCAGCAATAGTTTCGAACGTTGTTGATTCCACAAACTTCCATGCACAATTGATCAATGGTCTTTTGTAAGAAAAAAGAAAAATGTTTTGTAAAGAGTGGAAAAGTGCCCCAAAATCTTTTCTGCTTTGAAACCAGATATTAATCTTTTCTACGAAAAGAAAAACAAACTGTGTTATATCTGTTATAAAATAAAATAAGACATATCTCGGCTGATTTGTAGGCAAATAAACTAACATAATTAAGAGCGAGAGCCTGATGTGAACGGGACAAGGACCCATCACAAAATGACCATTATCGTCGTTTGCGCATAGGCCCGACGCATGTGTTCCGGTCGAAAAATAAAATAATATTTTAAAGTGTTCCTATTTCTCGACCAATAAAAATGCTTCCCTCCTAATTATACTCGCGTCGTTTTTCGAGCCTGTTAAGCCATAAAAAACGTCATAAAAGGGGTCATACGGGGAAGTTCAAAGGCAGTCAACAGGAGGCCAGAGAAGAGATCTGTCACGGTCAGTCTGGGCAGTCAGCAGGAGGAGCGCCACGCCAACCAGTGAGAACTACTATGAGAGATCAACCCAGCTCGGAAGCCGGCTTATGAACTATGCCACAAGGTAGCTGTCCCAAAACCACACGTTCCTATTGAAATAAATCACGTAAATCTATTTCTGCTGTTGTCGTATTTCTTTCTTGCAGCCATACGCTTGTCTATAACATATCTTTGAAACTTGGCTTCAGTGAAGACTACATCAAATACTTTTAAAACGCTCAAACTAAATAAGTTGTGAAAATTATTAATATATTCACTGATTTTTTTAATATATTTGTACAACTTGAAAATTTCAAATTAATTCAGACATTGCCCCGAGAAAAAAGATGAAGGTGTTGGTTGATTTCTTGACTGACCCATGATTTAGAGACTGCAAAATTAGTGGAACTAGTCTATTTATGCTACGAATTATAACATAATTAGATTTGTCCCAGCTCATTAGAGTTTCATCTGTTAATCATGCTTCCATGTGATTAAGAACGCGCGGTTTAATTATCGGCTAAGAGTGCACTGGTGTAGAACATTATTCAACACGCTTATGTAAATTCCTTTAGAAAATTTATTGCTTAACTGAACCAGAAGATTTCAGTTAGGCTGTAAGTTGAGATAAATCATTTAATTGTTAACGAAGGAAAAGGAGGATGAAGAACAAAATGCACAAATCGGCGAGGAAAGGAAAAAAAAGTTGAAGAAGAGAAGAAAATGTACAAAACATAAATGGAGGTGTTTGAGAAAAGAGAAATTGTACAAAACAGATGAGAATAAACGGATAACTATAACAAACGAAGAAAGAGAAGTAGGAGAAAGAGCATAGAAGTAGATCGATGATAAGAAGAGAAAAATTAGGGAAAGAAAGACAATGCAAAACAAATGCTGGTTGAGGGTCGGCTGCTTGATCGATTTTCTTGTTACTTTTTAGACAGCGTGAGCTTTTGGAAGTCTTATCACATTCCAGGTACGGGTAACTGCTTTCAATAGAGCAATGAATTTTGATTGTTATGCTGGAAATTAAGCCAGAACTTGAAAGACAGGTACGATTACAAAGATTGCACCGTGTCATTCATTGCAACTATTAAGGCGAAATCATCCCGTTTCTCGCTGCTCGTTCAGTTTTTTTTTAATCAATTCACCCCAAGCAAGGCGTAATGCCACTAAAACGCAAAAGGCTACTAGGAGTGAAAGAGGATGAAAAGACTTTAGAAGGAACCGGAAACCCAACCCTAAACAGGAAGCAAGGGACAAGCCTCTACTCCTCTTCAAAAGACCTAGGAGGAGTGTGAACTGGGCGATAGCTTAAACTCGTACATGTCCCGTTTCATATTCAGTTAGCACTTTACTGATTTTACTCATTCTTAGCGTTTTGTCCTTAGTTCCTGCTTCCCAGCTTTTTACAAATAATGTCCGTCTTCTTTAGCGTATCTTTTACGCAATCTCTATATCCTTTCTTCGGTTTATATCTGGAACACCCTCCAAGCAGTAGTTTACAATAGAAAAGTTTCTTCGCTATACGTTCATAGTCCAAGATCATGGAGGAAGACTGATCATGATCATTACTTAGATTGATGGAATATTTGCTACTTTATATATATATATATATATATATTATATATATATATATATATATATATATATATATATATATATATATATATATATATATATATGGAAATGGACAAGGTCCGACAATTTATTTATTAAAGACATTTTATTATGTTTTACGTTGTTATTTTATAGATACAAGTATTTAAGCAAATGCTCTGTTTATGATAAACAGTATTAAATAACATTTACCGGCCTGAATGTCCGAGAAATTTTCATAGAAAATATTCGTTCTTTGACAGGATTCGAACCGTCATATACGCTGACGTGCCTTACCGCTAGGCTACAAAGAAGCGTTCGGTAGACAAGGTCGAATTTACTGCTTATAAACTCCAATTTTCCATGAATCTCGTACATTCATAACTGCTCTGGCGTATCGAATGTAAACAAATGACGTCATATATTAAGAAATGGACAAGGTCCGACAATTTATTTATTAAAGACATTTTATTATGTTTAATATATATATTTATATATATAAATGACATCGTAATGTGCATGATATGCCTCAGGCAGATCTGGTGAAAGCGCTCGTGACTTTATGTAGCGCGCTTATGTCAGCAATGTTCAATTTTCGTATAGGGGGCTAGAAAACACAAACGCATGGCAAATGATTATTTCAATAGAGAGTTTGATTCTTCTTTGTGATCACAAGGTTTCCAAAGGAGGCCGTAGCTTTCTAAATTTTGTTTGAATTTTCCCGATCAACAGAGCACATCTGAGAAAAAGGACTCCAAAGATAAACGTACCTATCCATGATCTTTGAAGGGTGATATTCTTGATACATAATAACGGTTGTCTTATTGATGGTCATTTCATGTCGCGTCGAATACGTTTATTAGGGTTTGCAGTTCTTCCTGGATGTGGTTAACCACATCTGCGTCATCTTCATAAAGAAGATCCCTAATAAGTCTTCAAACACTGAATTTAAGAAGATTGGATAGTCGACCAGATATAAATGCCTTATGACAAATCTTTGAAATCTGCCAGAAGCAATACGGCAAAATTAATGGTGAAGAGAACAGGGGGCATAGAGACCAGCTTTTGCTAGACGATATTTTCCACAGAAAAATGAACAATTTCCCCCCAAAACTAATGTGAGAATTTGTGCCTATATGAAAGTTTTTCACTATGTTAAAAAAAACCCTCTGAAGATCTGCTCCGTTCTTTTGAACATCCAAAAAAATCCTGCCTATTGGCTGGAGAGTTATAAGTACTGATAAAAATCAAGGACATATTCTACACATTTCTTCTGAAGCTGCCGTGCCGTAAATAATATTTCATCGGTGCTACGATTGGCACGGAAACCACGTTGTGACTAGGAAATGAGATTTGTACATGTGTATTTGACTAATCGGTTAAGGAGAATTTGTGCAAGGACCTTCCAACAATGGAAACAAAAAGAAATGCAGCATTTTTTTTAAATCAATTCACACCAAATAAGATGATAATGCCAGAAAATCGCGAGGGGTTACTGGGAATGAAAGAGAATGAAAAAGCCTTTACAATGAATCAGAAAACCAATCCTAAATAGGAAACAAAGGGATAAACCGTTACTCCTGTTCAAAAGACAGGGTAAGGCGAACCGAAAGATAGGAGCATTGATCACGTGGTCTAGATTTATAGAGTGAACCGTTAGTTTTGTCAATCCTATATTATAAACCAGGACTGAACCAACATACGTCTTTCACTCTTTCACTTTATTTAGCCTTTACTGTACATGTGACTTAGGGTTTCATATGCCCATGCGATTTTGGCGCCATTGCACAATCTTCAGACGATAGACAAATAATTAATGCGTTCATTTTCAAACCAACTTTATTGTTATTTCAAACGTTCTTATAGTGAACAACTCGTATTTGATATCAACGCCTCATATTTATTTATTACAACGAGAGACGCAGGTTCAATCCCTGCTGCGGAACGCATTTTCTTTACTAAGATTTCATGAATGCGCAGACCGATAGACGTGAAACACAGTGTTTAATAAATAAGAATGGGAACATCTACGATAACATTTGTATTTATATATATATGCAATTTTTAGTATATATTATTTATATACTATATATGCACAGTATTTATTGGAAAGCGCTCAATATCAGTGATAGAGCTAACATTTTTCGTTGGTTTGATGTGAGTTTGTGACCCTGGGTTTCACGCTATTTGTGATCGCCATATTCTTAAGGAATAAATAGCTTTTTACTTATAATCTAACATTAAAAATTCCAAATCTGGTGTACATCCAACCGACCACAACTGAGAGTTTCTTCCAAGCTTTACACGCAATCTTCAGGTGGTCGGCATTGGTCTGTCCAGTGACATGCGTCTTTATACCCGTTCGGCTAACTCAAGGTTTTATACTGAGAATATCTGGTGAATAAATATGTACTCACCAACTAAAATATTTAGAGGGTAAATACGCATACGGCCGAGAATCGAGTAGCCGAAAAATCATTGCTGTTTGAGAAGAAAAAGCAACGGAATATATTTGCATGTCCTCAATACCGCGTCCCAAGTGACATCAGAATATATATATATATATATATATATATATATATATATATATATATATATATATATATATATATATATATATATATAAATGGCCATATCACTGAACAGACCAGTGGTGACCGCCTGAAGACTGTGTATATAGTACGGAAGAAACACCGGAGTTGTATGATAAATATAAATGTTCTGGTACTGCGGCATTGAGCTCTTTTTCCGGTGTGCCACTCCTTCGGGAGTTACTTTTCTGTTTTACTATATACATACATACATACATACATACATACATATATATATATATATATATATATATATATATATATATATATATGACGTGCCTCAGACCAAATCGGCCACGTAGGACATCCTGATCAAACAAAGCCCGAATAGTGCCATTTGAAAACATACTATCCGATTCTCGAAATATACATGGCTGCTCTGTTTTGTATCCTAACGTAAACAAAGACAATAAGTACTATTCAGGCTTTGTTTGATATATATATATATATATATATATATATATATATATATATATATATATATACACACACACACACACACACACACACACATATATATATATATATATATATATATATATATATATATATATATATAACAATAAGAAAATAAAAAATAAAAAAATTAAAAATTAAAATCATTAGACACACTGGGTTGTAGATTAATATTCTTTCGTTTTTTTATTATTATTATTCCATTTAGATTCCTCGACTAGTTTCGACCGAAATGGCCATCATCGGGAGGATAAATATTTCTGCTTGCTGTTGGCAGTGAACTACAGAAATGAATGTCTTTTGTTGGAGAAAATGAACTTTTGTCTGTAGTTTTCATTTGTTTCTTTATTTTTTTATCTTTTTCACATGAATCTTTTAACATTCCTTGTATTGGTCAAACAGTCTCTTTTAAGTTGTTATTTGAGATAAGAACTGGATAGATACATTTATCCTGAATTCTCTGGTCAGTTTGACAGTTTTATTGGACCTGGTGAGGGGATGTGTCTCTGTTTAGTGTTTTGTGTGTGTTATTTGGTTCTTAGGGGTGAGTGAGTATGATATGTGTAAGCGTGTGTATTGCTGTAGGTGTGTGTTATCATTTGGCTCATTAGGGAGTGAGTGAGTATGGTGTGTGTATGTGTGTATAATCGTGTGGGTGAGTGTATAAGTGTGAGGCCTCCATTCCTCCGTAAGCATGTCTGTCTTGTGTGGGTGAGAAATGTAGGTAGGTTTTGATTTGTTGATTGTTACTATTATATATTGTTAAATTTATGATTTAGCCCGGCTGGGTATTGTGTTTTTAGACGTTGTATCCACTTATTTTCATGGAACTCTAAAATCTTTCTAATGTTATCTGCTCTGAACTTTTCTATTCAATATAGTGAATCTGGCATGGGTTTTGAAATCGTGTTTTTCTAGGCGGAAATGTGGTTCTACAGGTAATAACTGTTCATAGGGAGTCGATTCAATTCGCTTACGATAATTATTAATTCTGTAG